AAAGATAGGTATTGATGTGGTATTCAAATGTTTGACACAATTTTTTATGTATTCAAGTTGTTTTGCTGATTTTTACAAGTTTGTTGTTGTGTTTCTGTGTGACAAGAAGCATGTTTCTCCACCTCACGCATGGAGAGTGCACATGCTAGGCTGAAAAAATTGTTGAGTTGCTCTGTAGGTGATCATCTATCAATGCATACTACGCTACACCTTGCATGCAACAACCAACTTGCGATAATTATCCAACAAAAAGCAACAGAGCGCGTCATCGTGGATATGCAACTTGGAGCTATATTTTCCAATGCGCTTGGCAAAATTTCAATTGAACTGTTGAAACAAGCATACAAGTAATACAAAATGATCAATCCATCGCCAATTGAGCAACATGAGTGTTAGCACGTTTTTTAGTAACATTGTACAAACCTTGTAAGCATGCATTCCATGTTCGTACGCTGCCTTTGTCGGTGGACGAATTTGATCAGCACTGATGGTTGATGCAACATGAGCGTGTTTCACAATTTGAGGCAGCGTTGACTCTAGATGCAACGCTTCGAGCAATAGTTGATGAATATGCACACGTAGCTTCACATGGCCACCGCATGCTACTTTGATCATGTCAAAACGGTATTTGCGGTTGAGATACGAGAGCCTACAAGCGCACCAATGCGCGGCAAATCAAGTGGTTCAACATGCACACTGACTTTCGAGTTGAGCACACTGAGTACAACAACGACGTGATGAGAAATATTGTTAAATTCTGCAATACGGAACTATATGGATTTCAAGTTACTTCTTGTGCTCATTCTGCTATTGTTGTTGTTTCTATTCTTGGTATTTCTTTGCCAAATCATGAAAAAGTCCATATTTTAAACGTAGCACCCACCCATCCACCCACACTTTTTTTTAATTTACCAATCACAATACTCTTTTTTGTAAAGTATAGTAGGGTGAGGTATAATTAGCCAAAGCTGAGTGATAACTAGCCGTTACCTATTTAAAATCAAAATATGCAATGATATGATACACATTTTTATCAATTTTATGCAAGTTGTAAATTAACTTATGCACATCATATTTATCATTTATCAAAGTGAATCATTTTTATCAATCCAAACTTATGATTTGTATATATTCATCGTAGATTTTTTTAAAAATTGCGTGACAAGCCACTTTTTAATAAGCATCATTAAAAAATTAAACAACTTAATATTTATTTTGATCTCATTTTAATAAAATTATTAACTCAACATGTTGGATTATTTTTCCAAATGTAGTGAATTCATAGATATTTTTTGTAAAATTTAATTTTGTGCTATTTTATGCTAAATTTATATATGTGATGTATTATTTATAGTATATTAAATTTTTTTTGAAATTTACTGTACGTTAAAATATTATTTGAAAATAATAAACACATTTAAAATTATTATTATTTATCGTTAAAAAAACGTTAAGCTTAAAATAGATATAATTTTAGTAATATTGGATTACAAATATGTTACATAACATTTACAAATCATAATTTTTTTTCATAAGAAAACAAATTTGATAAATAAATTTAATTATAAAAATGAAAAATTGTATATTTTATTTATTTATTTAAAATTCTCATCTTATATCACTCAATAGTTTGATATATTTTGGGGTTGACACGTTAAGGTTTTTGCAATCAGGTTCAAAAAGGTTTTTTCTAATAAACCCGTAATTATTTATTGGCATGAAATTGGGTTTTTTAATTAAGTCTATTATTAGTCTGATACTATTGGCCGTTGCAGTCTTCAATTTAATAGCAAACAAGATACTATACTGTGGTTCTTAGTGTAAAACTTATTGAAATGAAAACTATTGAAGTGTTATACGTTATTAATCTACCAAATGACGAGAACTAATCTTCATCCAAGAGGAGAGGACAAAAAGCTAGTGATGAACCCAACGTGGGTTTTATTAGAAAGAACCTTATGACATTTGGCTAGAGTATCACTGGTACAAAATTATTTGATGTTGACTAGAAGTATGATTTTGATAACTCAAATGATGTTAATGGATTGTAGAAGCATGAGCTATGTGTTACTAAATTCAGTACTGTTCTATATTGTTTGAGTACTAATAGTATGATACAATTGATTAAATTTCAATCAATTATAACAATTTTTGAAATCAGTTTCTTTAAGGTTTTTTAATTAACTCAAAATTATTTTTGGAAAAACTTGAGTTTTCCACCCCTGATATATTTTGACATTATTTTAATTTTATTTAAATTAAAATTATTCTTAGTAATAATTATTATTATTTCATGTATATTATTCTTACAAAAAATCAAATGTTTATGTTAAAAAATCCAAATCTAGTTTGTAGAGTTTTTGATAAATTTTGATTGATAAAAATTACGATTGAATATCATTTAATAAATAAAAATCTTAAGAATAAACTTACTACAAATTGCATTCATCAGAAGTAAAAATAAACACACAAATCAACATTGATTACAAGGTTTTTCTATAATATTAGGAAAAAAATAAATTTTGTTTTGAACAAATTCAAATTGTGTTATTGACAGGTCTTCATTAATTCTTTTTAATATAGTAACATTCCAAATATCTTAGCTGTCTTGGGTTAACATAGGTTGAGTTAAATCAAGATATTAATTAAGTTTTCACAATCTTTACTATAAATCACATATTGAAAACTTGAACTCAAAAAAAAGAAAGTTACTTTACAAGATGTTATTAAAGTAAATGTGACATATGATTTTATGTAATATAAAATAATTAGAAATATATTACAATCAAAACATGATAGTGTAAATATATATAAAAATAGTAACTTGTTAGTGAGCTTTACTTATGCTTCACATGCAAAATCTGTAAAGTAGTACAATGTCTCATAATTTTTTCAAATAAATAATTTTGGTCACTGCATCAACTATATTAGATTCTTTTCAATCCTTGATTGACTTAATATTCTTATACAAAAATAAATATTTAATATAATGATAAATATATAAACATGTTTCACTTTCAGATCTGTCACTTTATTTGTAGCAAGATGTAAGCATTTTGACTATAACAATGAAGATTTATAACTTCATGTTTTAATACACTCTCATGTCTATTCAATTAAGTAGACTTTCGACTCCTTTTCTTATCTATTGCCGCTACATATTCAAATTCTGGTGTAGATCGACACACATAGTGCACAATTCTAAAAACTAGATCTCTAATTAATGCATCACAAAATGTTAACCTACACACACAATTTTAAAATTTGTCTTAGCTGAGGTACTCCAAGGTCAAATTTATTGATCATAATATGAACAAAAACACTCATTTTTGGGGGTCATAATCTTGTACTTGAAGATATTTGTTTGCAATACTCTCATTTCTGAGTTCATGATCAATATGACATTCTTGTGATCATGTTCTTAAAAATTTTGTATATCCCTGTAATTATTTTTCAGGGATTTTTCATTAGAAAATATAAACAATCAATCGACAAGAAAATGTGTGTTACGTCCACGAGAAAATAACTGGATTTCACAAAAGTTCTAATTTGTATGATTGAGTTTCTCAAATTGACGCAGTCTGACCAAGTTAGTCAATTGAAATTAAGCTAACTTGAGCTAAATTAATACATGAATTGACTTCTAGAAAATGTTGAAAAATGTGAAGTTATCAATTAAAAAATATTATTATTAAATATTATAAAATAAAATTCAAATTTTTTTTCATGACTTTTACAATGTGTAATGATATTTTATATGATTCATAATATGAAATGATATAAATATAAAAACTAAAAAATTCAAAAATAAAAAGTAAAAGTTGGTCAAAATATGTGTCTTTAGTTCTAACGTCTTGAATCGATTTTTAAAATGGAAAATATAAAAAATATCAATTTTGTATTTTGATCACCCATTCATATAATTTTTTTAATCGAAATTTGAAATAAAAATTGTAGATCAACATTTCAAAATGTAAGTACAAATATTAAAAATTTTAAATTTGTATTTAAAAGATATGTGATAATATTTTATATAAGTCATATTACTTTCCAGATTGACTAACTATAAATCAATGTCTTATGTGTGAATATTTTTTATGAAATGGCACTCTTTCAATTGAATTTTTACAAGAAATATATAAAAAATTGAATGAAAATATTTTAATTTGGATTGTAATAAATACTTTAAAAAATAATCTAAGGTATTTATACTGTCTGATAATGAGATGAGTGACCTCATTTTTTAGCTCATTCATATAAAACTGTTGATAAGTCACTCCTTTACATAGAAGATAAAACTTAGACTGCTAAATGTTAAAATATGTAGATACATCTGTACAAACAAAAATGTATTCGTGCACAATATGTACTTGACATACGATAAAGTACATAAAGGTTTACAATATTCTTTGTTTTCGGACGAAGTGTTCTAGCTCATAGTTCCAGTTGAATTTTCAAATCGAACAAGATTAAAAATCAGTATCATCATCCACAACAAAATGAAGAATATGATAAGATCTTCTAACATTTTGGCGTCCGGGTTGTCTAGACCTGGTTTCAGTGTTCATCGTCCTCACCATCTCTATCGTATCCCTAGCCTCCGTGTTTTTCCGGTGGTTTCCTTCAGTGGACGGCATGATGGACTCTTCCAAATTTGATCCCCATTTTGCCCCACTGAAATCATCTCTCAGGAACATACCTGCCCGTATGGTTTCGCACTATCATTCTGGTTTTAGATCAACCCAGGTTAACTATCTCGAGTTTCAAATTACAAATACTTAGCTCCGAAATGTAATTGGTTGCGCAGCAGGACCTTACCTTTGGACCAGCGTAATAATTGTGAATCAACTCACTTGAAGTATTTGGAATTATAAATCACATACGCTAAGCTCCGGGATGTAATTGGTTGCGCGCAGCAGCTGGTTTTCCGCATGGGACTTTACCTTTATACCAGTGGTGTTCCAAACCTGTGACAGGGTGTTCCTACGCTAGACAGGATGCAGAATGCAGAATGCAGGCTGCAGGAAGCTGTAGAGTTGCAGCTGCTAGACTCACAGCAAAGCAAATGCACTTTCCAAATCTTACGTCCTGGCCTTTCACGGCTGGTGCACGGATCAGGAAGCGGAAAATGTGACCTGCTGCTGCTGCTGCTGCTGGTGAGATGACAGAACTGGTTCCGTGATGCACCCGGATCTGGTATTGTTAGATTTTCGTCGAGGACTTTGAAGGCGATCAATGGATTCCAGCATTTCCAGATGCTTTCTCCTGCCCGTGTGGTGGGGTCCCGGCGCTGGAGGACACCGCCATGATGCTTTGCAGAAATCGTTGGTACTTTCTCACAGCAGAAATGGTCAGTCGATTCTTGTTCGCCAATTTTTGAGTATTCTCGTTTTGTGTGAAAGCCATTCTGTGTCATGGCTGAGTGTTGTCTGGTAGAAATTTGAATTCCACTGGCAAAGTGCATCATGCCGCATTGTGCGGTCGAGAGTCTTGTCATTCAGTTGCTGATTATATGCTCATTCCATCATCTGAAAGGTATGAGAGGTCGCAATGGTGCTAGCGGGCACATTTTGCTTTTTGACACAGACCTAGCACTGGAATTTTGTCAGGGCCTTCAGCTAGGCTCGTTATATGGAGGAATTATCTGGGCTTTGACGACAGTGTTTCGAGGACGAAGCCAGGCGATTTGATTCGAGCCCATCACGCCAAAAGGCAAGTTTCTGAAGTTGATGAAATCGAGAACGAGAATCAGAGCTTTCTCGGTACATTACTAGGGAAAGCTCTTGCCAGCTATCTTAGCTCTCAGGTATGTCGCATTACTTGGAGCTTGATTGATTATGTCTGTTTCATGTTTGTTGCATTGATTGTGTTTTCATGTGGCTCTTTTTACACTCCATATTTACACTGTTTCATCACCTCCCTGACTACAGCTGGAAGACTGTGGCAATGTAAAGGTCCACATTGCTGGAAGTAATCAAGATATCTTCCGAGGAGAGGTGAAGAAAGTAAAGATCTCAGCAAAGCAAGCTGTGTACAAGGTGAGCTGCATACAGAGCTGTCTGATCAAATCTTCTGATAGTAGCTGCAGATAATGTTAGGAAAGGTGTGTACGTGGTATGAGAGCCTCAGCGGGTCTAGTAAGACCTTTTGCTCAAGAATTGCACAACGAAAATTCTTATTGCTCGAAAAAATTGGTGGCTTTACCTGGACAAGTTCTTTTTTAAGCGATAGCTTTCAACATGGGCTTCTTGATAAATGTTGAGCTCACACAAGTGGTTAGTCAGTCATTATCGATTGATAATGACTGACTAACTAATGACAGTCCAACAATTGTGTGATGAAGCTCTCTTTCTATCATCTGAACAATTGATGACGCGGTACCTCTTCTTTCATTGAGGTTCTTATTCGAAATTAAAGTAGTTTCTCGAAAGAGTCACAATTTGAGAAAATATGTTATTTGTTGTTCTTTCAGGTGCAATTCAGGATGCTTAAATTTTCTTTTTTGTGTCCTGCCCCCCTGTTTTGCTTCCCTTGTGACTTAATGGACCTCGACATTGTGTCCTTAAGGACACATTGTCTTCTGGGCTGCTTGTTCTTATTGACAAGTCAACTTTGGCCCGAGACAAAGCTTTTGACTGCTCTGCTTCTTTTCTTGCTGTTATCAGTCTGATGAAATCTGTACATGCAAGTTTCAGATCAGAGTGTCACGCCTCTTGATGGTAAGTGAAAGATATCTTGATTAGTAATTAGCTGTGTCTTTCAAACAGGGCATTTCGATTTCAGATGTGGATATGTCAGCTACTTCAATTCGTGTCAAACTCGGTCGAAAGAGGTAAAGTTTGATGTTTGCCCCAAGAAAGTTGAATCTGGAAACGTTATCCAAAAAAAAAAGATTGTTTCGTTGTAGTACATGTTTCATCTAAGGTCTTTGCAGCAAGTGCATGCCTCTTCTGTTGGGTGCGTAATGGCCAGACTGCAAATTATTTTTGTAAATAGTTGGTTAGCGGTTTCATAGGAGTTGAGAGGATCTGGTGATGATCATGTCTAAATATTATTAGAATCTATTCTGAAAACGGCCGTCGGATACTTTCGAACATTCCAGGCTTTTACAGGATCCGGTGCAAGTGAAAGCTTCGATTACAATAGGGGAGGAAGATTTCAAGTTGAGGTAAGTTCCTACTGCCTTGATACTGGCTTGCCTGTTTAAATGAGTGCTTAGGTTTTAGCACTCGCTTAAGTTTGTGGAGATTGTGAAACAACATAATTTTACTCAGCCATGCCGTTTATATTGAGATTTAGTCATGGACCTTCAGCCAGTGCTAGTTATCGCAGCGGTAAATTGCAAGATAAAGCCCAGGTCCAAAGCACAGCAACCTGGTTCTAGTATCTTTGGCCTTCTTAGTTGGTTCGAATAAGCATTACTTGTAACAGATAGATACCGATTGGGTCGCATTTATAGGTGCAGTTATGCACCATCAAATCTCTTGTTTTCCGTATCTCTCGTCAAGGGTGTAGGGGTCTTTGTTCTTCAGGGTATGGCACGCAATTTACTGATTACTGTATTAGTGTGATTCATTTGTTAGTTTACTCTATGGATCCTGATGGTGGCGTTTGTCCTGGGCAGTCTTGAGAGCCCTCTGCTTTTCCAATATCTAGAAGAATTCCTACCTAGACGATTCAGCACAGCCAAAAGTTTATCAGAAGTTGAAGTCGTCCTCCAGGATGGAGTACTTCTCTTGAGCCTCGACAAACAGGGAAAGGAAATTGGTCAGAAAGGTCTCTCTGATTCATCTTCCGCCGTAGCATTAACGCTAAAAGTCAAGGATGGTGGTCAAAGCATACTCGTCAGCAACGTGAAAGAGAGGGAATCATCAGGTAACTATACCGTGGCTAATAAGTTTAGTGTCGGTTCAGAAACAAATATAAGAGAACTGAGAGTGGCTGACTCAATGATACTTATCGAAGGAGATTTTCTTATCACTCCATAAGTTCAGCGGCTGTGTTGTGAATCATACGCTGTCAGTTTTTTTGCCCACGTTAGTCGGAGTGTAGGACTTATAAGGACGAATGGATTAGTAATTGCTTCAACGGACCTTTTTCTTCCGTTTCGGTAAGTCGGCAGATTGATTGTGGGGCCTGCGAGACGAGGGATTGCACGAGAAGTGGAGTTTTAGAAGTTAGGAGTCGAAGAACCCCGATTGAAGAGTTGGAGATTTTGACAATGTTTGAATACATTGTCAATACTGGTTATAAATGAAATAGGATCACAGATTAGTCGAGGCGTGGAGGTTTAGAAATTGGTTGTGGAAGAACCCCGACCGAAGAGTTGGAGGTTGTAACGACGTTATATAATACACTCAGTATTGGTTTATACAATATAGAATCACGGATCGTACATGCGCAAGATTACATTTTACTCATGTCAATCATAACGTCCTCATTTCGCCACTTCCACCGTCAGAAAGTGTAACCTCCCTGCCTTGCATAATAGGTGTGAGCAGCCAGGTCTTTTGAGCGACCTATGTGTTAGTAAGTTCAACTTGGTGGTCTAGCCACGGATGGAAAGAAAATTCACCTGTAGACTGAAAGCTCGGCTCCTATATGATTTAAATCTCCAACCTACTTAATCCCCCTACTCCAGCTGAAGGTTCAAAAACAGGAACAAGTACGAACCAGGGTCTTGCAGGCTTGTTGTAGGCTCGTGCTCCAGATGTAAACGATCCACATTCAAAAGCTCGTCCGTGGTCGAAACTTCCGACCCGCGGAGATAAAGGAGCATCAGAACTTCGCTCAAACTATGATAGCAGTCTCGTCTCTTAACGTCCCAATATCTATGGGGGTTTTCAGTGAAAGTTTCTCAAAAGATTGATCAAATTGACCAGAAAAGAGTCTGGATCTCCCACCAGAAGCGTTTCACGATTCTTCAGTTCTTGAGATCAGAATTTAGAACACTACATTTGATTCACTTGAACTAGAACTCTTGGATTCTAGTTCGTTAAAAGTATATACCTACTTATCAACGAACTAGAATTCGAAGATGGGGTGTTGTCGTCTTAGCCTTGCCCGTTCAACGTGATCAAGCTTGTCCTGAATCGTGCCATTAATGTTGCAATCATTTATGTGTAATAAACAGTTCTTGTCCTTTATTCCATTTCCTCTCCCTGATCGTCACCGAGTCCAAGCAAGCTTTTCAAACTGACTTGGAATCCAGTTTCATCTTCCCACCTCTCTTTCTGCTTTCTTCACTCCCTTCTTTTCCTCACGGAGAACGCCCACCTTTCCTCGTGTGACAGAGAATGTGTTGCAACGAGAGACAGTTGTTCCCTTTTCCGTTGATCGACCATCTTGCCCTTTCTTTGTACTGTGTTTGTCACGCTGTGAGCATTCCAGACTTCGAGGGAAGTACTCGTGCTGTACTTTGAATCTGTTCCCCACAGCGAGCAGAATGAAATGTCCCTCTACCTCGCTCTTTTCTTTTCCTGTCTAGTTTCTCCCTCTCCCCTCACCACTTACTTTCCTTGCGTGATATAAATTGCTGCAGCGAGAAATGCAGCATTTGGACGACGCTATTGTTTCTCCCTTTCTCTTGACCTTGCAGGCCTTGTCCAAGATAATTTCTCCTTTCATAAAGCGCAACAGCGTGAAAGTTAATAACAACTGAACAGTAGAAAATGCCTTGCATCATCATGCATCATGGCATCAAATATTGCCATTATATTACTGATCTCATATAATGCAGAACATCAGAAACTTGTACGTATATCTAGAAACCAAATTGAACATATAAAACCAAAGGTGTCTGATGAGTCTCGTTAAACTTTGTGGAAAAAGCCACCCCAACGTGCGAAGGCTCGTCGAGCGTTAGGAATACAGCGTCAATGGCATGAAGGCAGGAAAATAATAATTCGATTAGACAAATTTGGAGCTGGAGTGCCACATCCGTTTAATCTGAGAGGAACTCGGTCGTCTTCCATTCTACTATTCTGTGAAAAATTCTCACAAGATTGACCAAAAGCGGAAAAGTGGGTAAATAAACCATTATAAATATGATTCTGAGAAGCCTGTCAATGAAGAACAAGTTCAGTAATCCATCGTAAATGAAGTTTGGAAATCTGCAGAGCAGAAAGCGGTGGACATAGTTGAGAAAAGCATGTGAGGACAATGCAACACACACTTTCAGACCGGGCCTTAATAAAACAATCAAATGCGAGTTACATGGGCGAGAAACGAAGGAACTAGTGTACCAAAAAAATGAGTTCTTAGTATGAGTCGTGACTGTCAGAAAAAGAGAGGAAAGTACACTGCTTCACAAGCATATTCATTTTCTTTTTATTCTTGATAACGAAGTCTTGAATATGCCTTCAGACCGGAATTATTGAAAGATGGTGTTGTTCAGTTAGATGATCTGGCTGTTCTTTACACTTCAAAAACGTATTGAATTGGTTGGGAAACCACTCTAATACACATATGAGCGAAACATAAAGTTCTCTAAACAGAGTGATTTCGGTATGAAGTCTCTTAATTTAGTTATGCTGATTGTGGCGATCATTGTACTGTTGAAAATCGGTCGCGCTCTTCACCCAAATCTTTATTTCAAAGATACTCAGTTGTTGTTTGGTTGGGATAGAAATCCGTAGTATGCTGCAACCTCATCAAAAGAAAACAAATGGCCAAGAGCACTGAGTTTTCAATGAAATGCGAGACAAGGTTACCATGCTATCTCTCCAATCTCTCATAGAATGGTCTGAAGATATATTTGGCAGGCTTGTATGATTGGGCTCCATTGTATTTTTGGGGGAATCTGGCGTACTGTAACAAAACGTTTTGCATGGGCTAGTCATCCTTTGGTGTGGTCTGGGGAAGTTCAGGTGCCATTGCTGTTTTTTTAGCTTATTTCTTGATCGGAAGCTTTCGGTGAGTTGAATTGACCAAGGGTATAGAAGGTATAAGAGGAATTATACTCGATCTATTTTTCGAAATATCTCTTTGAGAGTCTCATAACGATCATGGTAAAATTCCCAGCATCCTCTAGGTGATGTTGCACAAAAGTGAATATTAAATTGTATTATTTTGATTGTACGGGGGCCAAAATAGATAACAAGCCAATGTCATCGTCTCACGGATTTAGATCTCATGATCACCGCACAACTCGACAAATTTGTGGATTTGAAATATATGAATTATGTGGCACAACATTTAAGATATCCAAACTGTTAAAAAAAAAACATGAACATCCAATTCCGCACCACTTTTAAAAAGTTACTATTATGCTTTGCACAGGATAATCATATGCAAACCATAGTATAATCTTGCAACCTTCCGAACATTTTTCTGGAGTCTTGGGATTAAGAAATATATCTTTTTTATAGTTAACTTTCCACAACCTCTCCTGTCTCGCCGAATGAAGGGTAAAGTCGGACCTTGCCTGGTCTGCGATTATACCTGTTCACAAGTTGGCGGAGTGGATGATACAACGTTCTTCAGATGATTGATAGGAAAATGTCCTACCCAGGCAAAGTGCCCCTGATGTAGAATGGAGAATTGGGGGGGCCAGAGAAATTTGCTATGACGCTGCATACAAAGGTGATAAAACAAGCAACCTGAAGTAATGCTGATTCCATTAAGTCGGATGCAACTGTCGGCAGTTTCCTGTGCACCTTGGGATGCTAACGAAATAATATGAAAAAATTAATCAAATATCAAAAAAGCTTTTGCAGTACTTTAATCAATTGAGCTGTTTGCAATACGGCCGACTAAACCCACGTTCAGGATACTAACATCCATTGATTTTAGATGCACAAGTTTACATCGGAAATCTGAGATGCAGGTTTGAGAATAAAGAACCTTGTGGCAACTACAGATCCTGGACTGATTGCATCGTGCACTGGCCGAACAAAACAATAGCGAACTTACGAAAGCAGAAAGAATATAACCGCTTACAGACGGCTTAATGTAGGTGCACCCTCCCTATCTCATGGTAGAGACGAATCTGCTTTCCCATCCCTGCAATGGAAAAGTCCCCAAGGCACCCTAAAGGGCTTGCATAAAAAACACAGAATATACACTACTCGTCAATAGGCCTAGACGGGCCACGCAACTTGATCAGATTTCTTTGTACGACGCATTGAAACGTCCCACATGCTACTTGTCCAAGAATATCTGCATGGACAGCAGGTGTCATCCACACCCTTCGCCAAGAAAAAAGAATTGAAGCTTCCCGCTGTGCATCGAAGAGTCACGAGAGTCCTGAACTCCACGGCTCCCCGACGACAGAGAGAGAGAGAGAGGAAGAACCCACGATTAACAGGGAGACGGGCAATGTCGTAAATTAACGATATATGCTGCGCTCGATCTCAAGAACGGGAGAGCCGTCCGATGGCTTGCATCGGCGATCTCCGAGGAGCCGTCCGATGGCCGGGCACGAGACCATGGTTGTCGGGACTTACCTACCACGTACACGAACGCCGCGTCCGACGAACGACCATGGGACCTGAGACCTGCGGCCTGCAACGGGCGACCGGCTTAAGGTTTCAGAAACGTGGAGCGGGCGGGCTGCTGGAGCCGCGCCAAATTTAGTCGAGCGCCCAAATGGCGGACGGGTTTGGCATCGGGATGCGCCTGGGAAGTCGGGCTAAGTCAAGGCACAAGTCAAGGCACGAGCCCAGCAGGCAAGGCGCGCTGCGTCTCGCGGCCTCGCGGGCATTAGCAGTTTCTCGTGGAGAATTAGCAGACGGATTTGACCGCAGCGCGAGAGAGAGAGAGAGAGAGGAAGAGGAGACGGAACGAAGCGAGGGGAGGGCAGCAACAGGCTTCGGACGGAGCTCGAGAGGAGGAGGGGGGGTCAGCAGGAATCCCTTTCCACGTATTTGAGGGGAGAAGCAAACGACGAGAAGGGTCGGGATCGGAGGCCGGCGAAGCTCACACGGCTCTTCCTGGGGTTGTATCAGTTATGGACACGGAGGTAACACGGAGGCTCTGATCTCTACGAGTCAGCGAGACCTTGCGCTGACACATCTGCACAGTATATCCGTGGTCTTTGCGCTTCTTTGAGATTCCGTGGTAACTTGAACTACCTCGTGGGGCGGATTATTATTCCATTTGGTGCAATGTCAAGCATTGTAGAGCTTTTCTGCCACTGACTGCATTTTGTCGTAGCCTCGCTCGTCATCAGCCTATGCCCGTGAGAAAGCGTTTATATTTTGCTCTGCGCTTGTGATCTTCCTGTCGGTGCAGACGAACAGGCTGGAGAGCTTCGCTTCGTGGGTCGGCGGGGGCGTCGCCTCTGCCTTCTTCTCTTCTTTGGAAAAGACGTCTTGTGTTGCACTGTCGACTACCGACACCGACGACGAAGCGGACGACGGCGAGGAGCTTCTGATGGGGCAACCCAAGAGCGATCAGGCCCTGGCCGGCCCTGCTTCCGAGATCACGGACTGGAGTCTGGTGGGTTATGAGAACTTCGTGAGGAAGAATCCGTTGAGCGATTTGTTCGACGTCGAGAAGTTCCATCACATCGAGTTTTGGTGCGGAGATGCGAGTAACACATGGAGGCGATTTTCGTGGGGTCTGGGAATGAATCTGGTCGCCAAAAGCGAACAGACCACCGGGAACCAGACGTACTGCAGTTACGTGATCCGGTCCAACGAGCTGTTGTTTGCGTTCACTGCTCCCTACTCAAAAAATATCGATCAGTCCACCTCGAGGATTCCTCATCCAGGTTTCAAAGCCGATGAGGCTAACGAGTTCTTCTTGAAGCACGGTTTGGCTGTGAGGGCGGTGGGACTTTTAGTCGAGGACGCAGAGCAGGCCTATGCCGTGAGTGTCGAGAATGGAGCTATTAGTGTTCTTGAGCCACATACGCTCACCGATGACAGCACTGGGGGAAAGCAAAAATTGGCTGAGGTGAAGCTGTACGGTGATGTCGTTATGAGATTTATCAGCAATCATGGATTTACCGGCCCATTTATTCCCAATTATCAGCCTGTGGAATCGCTTCCTCTGACTCTCGGTATACAGAGATTGGATCACGCCGTTGGAAATGTTCCCAACTTGATGGAGGCTGTGAAGTACGTTGCTAAGTTCACAGGGTTCCATGAGTTTGCTGAATTCACTGCGGACGACGTGGGTACCGGGGACAGTGGGCTCAACAGTCTTGTCCTGGCCAACAACAGTGAGATGGTTCTGTTACCCATGAATGAACCTACATTCGGAACAAAGAGGAAGTCTCAAATTCAGACATATTTGGAGCATAATGAAGGCGCGGGATTACAGCACCTAGCACTGATCTGCGATGATATTTTCTCGACCGTGAGGGAAATGCGAATGCGTAGTCATGTTGGGGGATTCGATTTCATGCCCAAGCCTCCTCCTACTTATTACAAAAATATGCCAAAGAGGGTTGCAGGCATTTTGAGTGATAAGCAGGTGAAGGAATGCGATGAACTCGGAATTCTTGTCGACAAGGATGACCAAGGTGTTCTTCTGCAGATATTTACCAAGCCACTTGGAGACAGGTAAAATTGATACTCTTCTATCAACAGGCAGGGTAGATGCATATCGATCGTATTTTTCAGTAGCTAAAGAACTTGCAAATTTTCATCGATCCGCATCTTTCTTGACTACTCATGTTTTCTAACTCCCATGTTGGATCCTGAGGTTGTGATATCTGGAGTGGTTATCGTCGGAAACTAGCGCAGCTTTTGTTCAACTAGAAATTTACATTTCTTCTTGAATAGAAGCCAATGCTATCTCGTTTTTCTTTGATTTGACTTCGAACGTGGGACCTCATTATCTGTTCTCGAGTGCCACGCGAAGCGAATGTCAAAGATTTCAAATGCAATGGCTCTGCTGAATTGGTTGAAAGTGATTCATATTTCCGTCTAGGGAGGGAGAGTTTGGACCTTCAGCTGGTGCAGACTTTAGCACCTAACCTTTTTGGTCACACCTATCTGGTTTGAAAATTTAATTTTATCAAATGGACCACTAACCCGCTCACTTAGCTCAACGGGAACCTTAGCCTAGAGTCAAAGCACATGTCTTCTGTCAACCAATATTTTGGAATCTGCAGAGCTGAACGGGTGGATAGGCTTTTGAAATTTTCCTGTATGAAACGCGGAAATTTTGGAGCTAACTTCGTCTAAGTCCTTTCTCCTAATTCTCCAATCTCTATTACTACCGCCGCTCATCCAGAGCGCAGAGTCTATGGTCTCTGTGCCATTACAGGCCAATGCTAGTGATGACATTTGTATGAGTTAGACACAAGTCTTCATATTTATTGCTACAGCAACAACTGTCTCCTATTTACCGTATGGTAGCAAAAACCAGAGTGAAAACATCATAGCGAAAGAGAATGTTGAGGTACATAGTATGAGAATCGTTTCCTCTCGTTTCAATGGTCGATCTGTACATCTTTCCTAAACGGGTATTTCCCACAAGTGTGCTTATTGACTTGAATTGTCAAAGTTGTTCATTGTCTTCTTAGCTCAATTGTTGTAACAACACTAAATCGTACGTCTGCCGGAAAACATGTTTTAATTGGAATGAGCAGTGTTGAGGTATCGTATAACTTTGTATTGATACTAAAATTTTGAACTTGTGACCGCACAGACCAACCGTCTTCGTTGAAATCATTCAGAGGGTTGGTTGTATGGAGAAAGCCAAGAATGGGCAATTGATCCAGCGAGGAGGATGCGGAGGTTTTGGCAAGGGGAACTTCTCAGAGCTGTTTAAGTCCATCGAAGAGTACGAGAAAACTCTAGATGGGACCGTCAAAGAATGAAAAGCTTGGGCTCCATCTGTATATACCAGTTAATTAGAAGAAGACTTATGTGAGGAATGATCGTTTAAGCACTTCGATACTAGTACTTAGAGACAGGAACTCTTTTCGGAGTCGTATACGCGCCTACGTGTCTTCAACCATTTAGGGCGCTTTTCTTGGCAGTTGGGCTCGATGAAAGTTTTTTAGGAGTTCATCGAAATACAAGGCATCGTCTTATGAGGTGCCTATGAGAATCCAGGGGTAATTTTAGCAGCGGAGGTGGTTGCATAGGCTTAAGTTGAACGTCATTATCAAACGTTCTGAATTTGTGAGCTACGCGGGACTGAACGTGTTGCAGGAAGGGGAATGTATGGATATTCACTCTGATGAGCACTCTCAGGTGAAATGTGCTTCCCCTTATGTAAGATTAAGCCGAGCAGGGTAGTTCACGTCCCCTGATGATTGTAAACAATCGAAGAAAGGCTGGACCTGACATAAGGACTCCTTGATTTAGAGCATTGAAGATACTGAAGACTTAGAGTGGCCCACATTAAATTGTGCCCTACGAGACACGGGATGTTAAGTGCACCGGATAGCATGCCTGTCACTGCAAACCTCATTTTGACATTTGGGGTTGAGCTCCCTGTTGTGCTTCTCTCGTGGGACTGATGTATGTGCATACATTACGGGCTGTTGTGATGTTGGTTGTTTTTAACGTACATAAATAAAGAAAATACGCTTCACTTATCTCCACTTACTATGTGCTGATCAGGAACTGTGAAATTGGAGATTAAATGGTTCTAGCTCGAGAAATATGTCTGTCCACAAATATGGAGCGGTGAAGTTGATTGAACAAATATTCTCAATTTAGTAGTACCAGCTCGTGCGAGACTGTGCATAACTGTAAATCACGACAAAGCCTCCGGATTTCCAGGGAGACTGAGGCGAATAGAATCTTCACTCTATCCGCGAACTTTAGTGGTTGTCCTAAACTTACACAGCCAGGAATGCCATGTCAACGTGTACATGCAGTCTTGTCCACCAAGTAAGCCGCACCAGCACACAGGTTGTGAGAACGAGACACATGGAATTGCAGAGCTTATGCTCTGAAATAGTTTCGGGAGCAATCATTGATTGTTCTGCTCTTGATTAAAGAAAAGATGACTGCATCACACAGTCCATGATCAGGCATCCAGTTGGTCTGCCACGCAGATCTGTCAACTGTCATTTCTTCATCAACGTAGAAAAAACTGTCTGAAAGCATGATGTTGTTTGAATGCATGGAAGCAATCGTCGAGCATAAATATCAACAATGAGTATCGTATCAAAGGTTTTCAAATCGAGAAATATACTTGGACAGAAAATAATTAAGTGAACTATTTTTTCAAGTTTTGAGGTTCCTACCTGATTTTGAGAAACTTATGAATTGACCACGAGAAGGAATCCAGACGGTGAGTGGTAAGTGCTGATTATAAACCTTACTGTGATGGAGTCGATGAATAGTAACTTGTGTTCAAAATGTTAATCGACTGGCTACTTTTGACCACTATGTATGGATAGGACCTGATGCATGCTGTCTATAACATGATAATCGGTTGTATGCATACCTTTCCGTGGGTTTTCATCTTCCCCAAGTGTGGACTATAATCTGCAATGTAACTAGTATTCTTTCGCCCCATAGATGCATGAGTTTTATATGCGATTCTTTGAGTCTCCTTGAATACTCATGATGATAAGTACATGGAGTGAACGTTTGAAATGCATACTTGTTTGAGTTTTTTCCTGAGGGTACAAAGTTCATGTTACATGCATGGTGATTCTCGGTATTATGCAAGTCCAAAGGCTCCGATTATCGTCTCCATACAACAACAAGCAGCCAAGGTATTTGACTATAAGGGTATTCGTGTTAGAGTGCACCAGACGTACCATACTAGATGCCATGTTTTCATTTCCTTGAAGAAGAATCAACGAAGAAGAATTATGTTAGCATATCACATGGTCTTGTTACGTGCAAAAGGTTTGAACTCAAACAACTACGATGTATTAGTTGTAGAGTACATTCGTTACATTGTAACGTTATTGGTGCTTAACACCATGTTACATGTTTGGGTTCCTCTATATGTCTGAATGGGGTCTTCCCAGTCCTTTTTGCTATATTACTTCGCCCCCTCAAACAACCACGTTCAGTATGTTACAACCGTACGAGACTTCAGAATGTTATGCTTGGTTGATATAGCAGTACAGATAACGGCAAGTCAACATGAGCAGATAAATGGTCAATGACAGAAAAAATTAGAAATATAGTCGAGGATATCATCCCTCATCTCATCAAACGAGCACCTGACATATGAAGAAAGTGGCTACTGATCATGCCTTTTATCAATACATAAAAAAATTCTGTACTGGTTCTCAATATCGAAACAGATCCGCTGTGCTTTTTCCTAACATGGTCCAGCTCGAAGAAGTAGTAAGTTCTGGATCATCTGGATATGCAAAATTTTATGGAATAGTATTTCTAAACCAAATATGACGAAAAGTATGACACGAGGACTTGCATGGATGACCATAGGGATGTTTTACGTGTTTGCAAAAAGGCAAAATGTGTGTTATTAGAGCTTGAGAGGGTATGCTTTTTCAAATTTTCAGTCTAATGGCCAATATTGCTTCGTTCTCCATCTGGGCCAAAATTTGTGGAGAGAACAGTTTCTGGGTCAAGTGCGAAGTGGACTTGGTATAATCTTTCAAATGACGCACAGAAGGATTCATTCCCTGACTGTTTCCTTCAGTATAGGGGAATCTAACGATGCATCATCCTGTGTTTCAAAAACTAATATAATTCAGTATTTTTTTTTAAAAGCAGTTTTTGTGAAAGATGGTTTGATTTTGGAGCCAACACTACAACAGTGTCCTCAGAGGAAGTTGCTTTCCGAAGGAACGTAAGTCCAACTCCATTTATTTCTCAGGTGAATGAAAGGATTCTGAATCTAGTAAAGAGTAAGTACATGAGGACCTGCACCGCCTCCTTAGGACAAACCATTCCGTGGATTGAATGTGCTGCAATTGACTTTCAAAGTGTGGTTGACATGTTATACTCGCCTTGAATAGGATTCCTTTCAGCTTCTGTGTTGGCAACATTTGGACCGTAGTTGAGGCTTTCTCCGTGGAAAGAACCGCCTCCACTGTCTACAGTTTCCTTGTGATGACCATGTTGTGCACTCACTGGACCCACTCAAAACGAGTGAACAAGGTTCGAACAAACCCGTCTTCATCTCACGGGCAGAAAATAAAGGCGAATTTAGGAAGCTGGATTAAGCTAATGCGATTTTCCACTAACCTACGGAAGGGGAAGATTATCTTAGTCCTCCGCGTCTTCTGATCCGAATGTAAAAGCTTATTGTATTGCTCCCAGGTGCGAGAATATCGTAAAAGCCTATGCACAATTCTCCGGGCGAGAAGATACAAACATATCGTGCATAGCACACTCATGCAACTACGGGAGTATAGAATGCTTATCGTAGAGAGGGCGTGGCATGCAACCACTCGTGAGGGTAAAAATAGAAACTGGGAAGACATGGAGGACGATACACAGTACGCCGGGATGCGCTACCACGTAGACCTACAGGAAACAGACAGTTGACAAATGCCGGCGGAGTTTGGCGATTGCCGGCGAGAGAGAGCCTTACCGAGGCCATGTGCGCCGGGCGGTGTAATTGGGCGAGTTACCCTACGCGAGCGCTTTTAATCCGGCTGGCCACGGCGGGCCGTGTAAAGGATAACTGACGCCCGCGTTTGTGTTAACCGCGGTGGGAGACTAACGTGTACAGAGTGCGGGGTAAGTCACAGGACTGTCCCAGTCAGTCGCCCGCGGAGAAAGGTCACGTTGCGAAGATCCGGTCTCCGAGGACGGGATGTTGGGGACGCCCGATTCGTAGAGAGGTGGACATGTGACGGGAGGGGACGGGGCGAGACGAGACGAGGAGAGGAGAGGAGAGGGGAGGGGAGGACACTCGTGAAGGGGGGAAGGCAGAAGCAGCGATTGATCGGATCGATTGTGGTCAAGATAATCGATCAGTAGGCGGTCGATCGGTGCGCGAGGATTTTTCCCCACGAGGTCGCGACCGACGGGAGGCGTGTTGTGGATTTGGCGCGGTGTCGTTGCGGGGCGCGGCGCAGAGCTGATGAGAAGGTAGCTGACTGATTTTTGGTATGGTGTGTGCCGTTGTTGTGCGCGATGATTTTTGAGATTTGGAAGGTGGCAGGCAGCTGCATGTGTGCAAGGTTGTGATCGGCGGTGTAGTCGGGAAGTAGGAAGGACGCTACGGTCGTCGTAATTAGCAATTTGCAGGCGTTCTGGATGCGCGGAGTAGCTGGTTTCAGGGCTCCTCCGGAAGGATCTACGGGAAAGAAGATTGAGTTGAGAGGCGCAAATGAGGTCGACGTAGTGGGCTGCGGTTTAGGTGACCAGGTGCTTACCACAGGTGCCCGTGCGCGCATGGAGCTGAGGAATAGCAAGGTGTAGGTAATAAGAGGCGGAGCTACACATCGTCAGCTATTCCCGACGTGAGAATAGTCATCTCAGTCATTTGGAGAGGATATTGCAGGTCCGAGGCAACGTAGGCGATTGTGAACCCAAAATTATGGAGAGATGGGATCTTCAAGCTTGGCCTTTTCCTTAGCACGAATTTTTTTTGGCCCTTGACCCTGGATTATGGTAGTCGAGGTTCTTCGCTCAAAGAAACTCGCTAAATCTCTGCCTTCTCGGTCTCTTCTTATCAAACCTTTTCTGCGATGCCAGCTGGGGTGAGGTCAGTCAGAGGAACTTGGGTGCAGTCGTTGACCTCTCCCCAATCTTTATTGCGTCCAGCATTCCAGATCTCATTTGTACATCTGAATTGTCCTCCGGATCTTGTCTACCCACACCTGATCTCTTTATCCCATCTTTATGTCGGAGAGACTGAGTCAAAGTTTGATGCCCTGTGAGGGCTACATACACTAAGCCACTTACCATCAGTCGCCGGAGTAAGCTATTTGTGCAACTCTTTAGCGGATTTGAATGATCAGAGCACGATGTCAAGAAGGCTGGTCGAAAATGCTACAAGGGAGGCTCAAGTATTGTGGAGTAACCTGATTGAGGAGAAGCCCCTGCTTCCCTTTCTTATTCCTGTCTTTTTGTTGGCGTGGTTCCTTGAGCGATGGATTATTCCCTTCTCCAACTGGATACCTGTCTGCGTCATCGTGTGGTCTACGGTTCAGGTCAGTACTTGTATGACTCTGGCCTACCTTTTTCGAACATCTTACAGTTCTCTGCCTAGACCTGGCAAGTCTTCTGAAAAGACTTGTCAGCACTGATCGTGAGGAAATACTTTTGGGTCTTTCTCGAGGAGTAGTTTGTTGTTTTTACTTGAGTCAACAAAGTGTGATGCAGATGTAAACACCCTCTCTTTGTTTTTTTTCAGTATGGAAAGTACCAACGCAGACAAACTGTTGAGGACTTGAATAATCGGTGGAAGCGCCATGTCCTATCATCCCAGGTATTATTTCCAGTCCATTGAAGTAGACTAACATGTTTCAGTTGCAGATGTTAAATGAGTTGATGTCCCACTGCATGTTTTTGACTAGATTCTTGCTTCCTTTCTCATCCGTCGACCCGACTTAACCACTATTGTTTAGAACGTGAAAGTTCCTCTGTGAAGTATCTTGTTCTGAATAGGTTTTCTCACTTTGCAGCCAGACACAGCCCGTGAACCGTGCGAGTGGCTCAACAAACTCTTGCTCAATGTGTGGCCTAATTTTATTGAACCGAAACTGGTTCAGAAGATGCTTCAGCTTGTTCAGGTTCTTCTCCTACTGGCTTCTCCTTCGCTAAGTTGTGATCTGCCCCTGTTGAATTGGAAACTCTAGTTTTTGTCATCTGCTGAAGTATGTATCCTTTGGTTGGTACGTTTCTTTTTTTGTTACACGTCTTGAAACGGCAATGAAGTTTAGACCTTGATACTACTTGACGAGGACAGTACAGGACAGGTGAAACTTGTTCACTGAAACATGGAGTACACTAATCTTAGCATTTTAGATTTGTTCATCAGTTGAAACACTGCTGTGGATTTTCTTTCTTGTTTTGAGTTCTGTTCACGTCAGTAGCCTTCTTTTTTACATGTCACAGAGTTTTAGCAAGAATCAAGAAGACTGGTTTAAAGTTTGACGCCTTAGACATTATCCTCCCTATCCCCATGGGTCGTATAGTTTTCAGTACTATATTAAACAAATTAGGCAGGCCAACACTTGCAAGATATTGCAGATCATATAGAGGGCTGTTAGATACCTAGTTAATTCAGTCTCTTTCGTGTCTGAGACTGCCCACTTTCATCACTCCGTCACGGCTGAAGGCGCTCTGGCTTTTGAATGTTAAAACGCCACATGTTTTTTAATTTTTTCTGTTGCTTGACACTGCGCTGTGTTGCTGAATTGTCCACAGAGAAAGATCAAAGAAAGGAGGCCGAGACCAATTGTAAGTTCATTCGCAAGCCGTTTCAGTCAGCAATAACCACCTCTTTTTTGGTGCGGGTTTTACATTTCCTGAAGCCCATGTATTGAGTTGGCTTCTGCTAGTGTAGAAGTCTAACTTCAGTAGGTGGAAAGTTTTCTACGGGCAACTTTGTGTCTCTCTTCTAACGCGTTAGCGGGTTGTCAATCGCAGCAAAGTGTCGAAGTACAAGAACTTTCTTTGGGTACAGCTCCACCAGTTTTTGGTCTTGATCGAACTTACTGGTCGTCGGAAGGTGGTCAGGTGTGTTCATTTCCATAGCGCATGCTCACTACTTTAAGCTATGTTGGAGATTTTGCGCTTGATGTTGCTTTAGTAGTAGTATCGGAATAGAGCAATCAAAAGTCTGTACACATGTAGTGTCACGAGATCACTGACGTTGCATGGGCAATGAAGCGTAGGAATCAAGTGAACCTCTATTATTCTCATCACGGGTGTTCTGACAATCCTTTGCGTGAGAGTGCAGCCTACCCTACACATGGGTTTCGATTGGGATACAAATGAGATGAGCGTGTTGCTGGCTGCGAAGCTTGGTGGTCCACTGCGTGGGAAAATGGCTCGCATCATTATAAACAGTCTTCACGTGAAGGGTGATGTAAGTATCGAACACCTGGTCTTTTGTTTTCCTTTCTTTTGCCTCCCACACGGGATCTGCAGGTTTTTTTGTTTGTTGTATAGGTAAAGTTATGTATCCAGGCCAGTTAGACCTGACTTCTCTACCGTTGACCTTGTCACCAAAACAATATCAGCTCAATCCTACTGTAAGATGATGATCAACATCACCGTGTGACTTAACATTACAAGAACAATGAGCTAGGGTTCTGCTTAGTGAGGGATTCTTCAGGGGACACTGTGGTCGCTCTAGAAATCCCTCCTGATTTGTTTTCTCTTACTTTTTCTAGCAACACAAAATACAACACAAAGTTTTTCTCTACGGCAGTTACTGCCTGATGAGAAAAATAAGATTTACGCTAAAAAAAAATTACCGATGCTTTATTGTATCACAAATGTCTATTTTTACCTAACTTCAGATTTGAAATTTGTTATTCCAGCTTCGGATGCTACCCATCCTCGACGGACAAGCTGTGCTGTACTCGTTTGATGATATACCAGAGGTCAGAGTTGGAGTGGCTTTCGGTAGTGGCAGTCAAACGGCTCCCCAGACAGAGCTACCTGTTGTATCATCATGGCTGGTTCGTCCTTTTACTGCAAACATGTGTGCAAAATGCCTTTTTTAATGTAGACAGATGGATGCCCGTGCCGTGTGGAATACCGAATACAGTTCATTGAGCTTTGATATGGCAATGGCCCCTCGAATGTGGTTAAGTTTGAGTCAAGGTGAAGATAGGGTTACAAAATTAGTTTGAGTACTTTATGAGGAAGGATTACGATCATTTTTCTTCTTTATCTTTGTTTTGTTCTCTAGCACTGATATTATCTCCATGTTTTAATCAGGAAAAACTTATCAAGGACACATTAATCAGGACAATGGTTGAACCCCGCAGAAGATGCTTCTCCCTACCAGCAGTGGACTTGAAAAAACATGCTGTAGGTGGAGTGGTAAATGTCATGGTTGTATCTGCTAAGAATCTATGCAAAGCGCCAGTACAAGCCGTGTCAAGGTCTTCATCAGGTGAAAAGCGGAGCCCAAATAATAATTCAGGAAGTCAGGGTGGTAGGGTTTTAAGTACTTTCGTGGAGATGACATTGGAGGATTTGACTCGAAAGACCAGCTTATGCTCCACTGGTGGTTCTGCGCCCACATGGACTGACAATTTTGACATGGTCCTACATGAGGACACTGGTACTATCCACTTGAACGTCTACGAGCAAGGAACCAACAACATGAAATTTGATTTCCTCGGTAGCTGTGAGATTAAGGTCCGTGTTCCTCTTTTGGCCGCACCTGTAAATATCGTTTACATGGGGAGAATTTCTTGCTACAGTTGCAGTGTTCGGATTTCGTCATGCCTAGTGTCAGATTACTGACAGAATGGTATTCACATGAACGTCGTTCGCGTATGCAGATGAAATATGTTTTAGATGACTCAACAACTTTTTGGGCCGTTGGAGTTAATCAAGGTGTTGTTGCTTGTCGAGCTGAACGCTGCGGTAAGGAGGTTACAATGACCGTACCTCTTGAGAACTGCGTCAAGGGAGAGGTTGGTTTCTTACTTTGTTGTATAATCGTAACACGAGTTTCCTGCATTTGACACCCAAATCAATTGTACGCGGTAAATGACCTAAGCGAGAGGAAAAGCTACATACACCCTTGTTGATTGTGAAATTGTCGATGCAACACGTGAAGCTCTTGTTGGGGTTTCAATCGTTCTTGGTTGTTTCTGATTTATATTGACTTCTGAATTTGGTTCTGTAGTTCTAGGATGTGAAATTTAAACAAAATTCGGTGACCTGTGAAGTATTGACTTTGACATTTGGAATTGTGTTCCTAACAGGTGACGGTAAAATTAAATTTAAAGGAATGGCATTTCACCGATGGTTCTAAAGCTGTAGCAAATTACAATCCGTCATCAAACAATGTCGTGCAACAGCAGCCGTTGCTTGGCATGTGGCCTTCTGCTCCTTCCTTGACCGGCAGGAAACTGCGAATTGAAGCAGTGGAGGGAAGGAATTTGGCTCCTATGGATAAGACTGGCAAAAGTGATCCCTACCTGAAGTTACATTACGGCAAGGTAATTATCTTCTGACTGTGGAGGTTAAAAAGCCACGAGAATCGTTCATTTGAATAGTTTGACGGCCGATGTCAACAGCAGCCGTTTGTAATGCGGCCTGATGGTTTTGTGGTGTGGTTTACATTCTTTTCAAGTCTTTAAAAGATTAGCGCACGTTTTTGTGGAGAAGCTCCGGTGTCAACCTAAAATGTGAAACATCATTATGGGTTCCGCTGACTCTTTCCATCTCTCGGTTTTTCGTTTTCTTTCACAGATGGTCAGGAAGACGAAAACAATCACCCAGGATCTCAATCCAGTTTGGAATCAAACTTTCACGTTCCAGGAAATATCTGGAGGGGAGTACTTAAAAATCAAGTGCTACGATGCAGATCGCTTTGGTGATGAGAATCTAGGCAGTGCACGTGTTAACTTGCAGGGATTAGAGGAGGGCTCGCCGAAGGATGTTTGGGTACCTTTGGAAAAGATCAAGCAAGGAGAGATTAGGCTGAAAATTGAGGTTCTTGGTCTGGACACCGATTTTGATGGATCTCAGGTAAATTGCGCGAACAAACATCCCATGTGATATTCTTGTTAATGAGCTGTGGCGATGGCATATTGATGGCATTTTATTGTCTTGAAAGAGTAATTTTAAGAGTCTGAAATTGTCTTCAGTTCATTTTTTAGGTTTTGCTTGGTGCGTTACCTGTAGCTGAACTTGAATTTTGAGATAATTGATATATTTGTCGTCAATTGAGCAGAATGGACAGAGTGATGAGAACGGCACAGCACCATCAGGCAGCAGGGTGGAGGTCGTAATGATAGAGGCACGAGACCTGGTAGGAGCTGACTGGAGTGGTACTAGTGACCCATATGTTAGTGTACGGTATGGAAACATCAAAAAACGAACCAAGGTAAGTTTTCATGCCTTTGACTTCCCTTTTACGCATTAGCGCTGAGATGATATGTCCTGAGGATACAAGGTGACCATTGTCCTTCGTTATGCAGGTTGTTTACAAAACACTGAATCCTCAGTGGAACCAAACTTTGGACTTTACCGACGATGGGAGCCCTCTAGTGCTGCACGTTAAGGACTATAACTACATGTTACCAGTTGTTAGTATTGGGCACTGTGTTGTTGATTATGAGAAACTACCTCCCAACCAAACTATCGATAGGTGGATTCCGCTTGTTGGCGTTGCTAAGGGAGAGATACATATGCAGTTGACTCGAAGGCAGCCAGAGTCTGCTGCAGAGAGAGACAAACATGCAGAAAATGAAGGCTCGAATACTTTGGGTAGTATTTTGTCTGGTGTCAGTTCACCCCAAAGAGTGCCGGTTGGAACAACCAAGCTTCAGAGGACTTCCGGAAAGGTAATAACGAGCGGTTTCACATCTGGTGTTTTTTCGTACAGATGGTTCCAACAATCATCAGTTGCTATCGTTGGTAAACATCACTATCTGTTATGACATGGATAGAGTCCAGCGATTTCAACAGTCTAACTAATTTCACTCTCCTTTTATATTAACTATCTTTGTGCTTGTAATTATGACGTCTTCTTAAGGCCGTGAAGAATGCCAATTCTTACTGCAGTTTACATTGCTCTACATCTCGATCTGCAATTTTCTCAACTTATTACTGTTGATCTGTCCATTGGTGTCAGGTGCGAGCTCTCATTCGGCGGGCGATGGCCCTGGCAGAGGAAGAGGATGACACAGACGATATCCGTGTTATGCTGGAAGAGTTGGAGACTGCTGAGGAGGAAAGGGATAGTGTGGTATTGCAGTTGCAGAGGGATAGAGACATTTTGATAGCCAAAGTTAAGGAGCTGGATCAAGCTATGTCCGGCTTGATCTAGTGTGACATTAGATTTGTAATGGTAGGAATATTCATGGTCTCAAAGTATGGTAGTCATCCCGTGCCATCAATGGTAGCTTTGGGGCTCCTTTGAATAAATTGTCCAGTAAGCTGGCATACACGAAGATCACGTGCTGCTTTAATTGAGTTCTGATCCTCTGTCTTAAGGCAAGAGGTTAGCCTTACGGGTGTAGTACGGTGAGTGCCCGATCACACTTAATAGGTTAACTACAGCTGAGGCCATCATTCATTTCTCGTAACTTTATGGGGCATTTCACATACATGCCCTGATTGTTTTTTTCTCAACGTTCAGCACTACAAAGTCTCTTGAGAGGCTTCTGGGACCTTCAGTAGTTTGCACACATGCGACATCTGTTCACCACGCCTTCGGAGGCACTAGAAACAGAATTTAATTTCAACCACCGACTGAAAGGACACCCTTATGTGATCTGTGTGCATAGGCTCTAGCCAATAGCCAATACAGAGTATTAGGTAGGATATTTAGCGTTACTTTTGACACTCTGTAAGAAAAACTCAATTTGCACAACTGTGGAAGGGAAGGGCTCTTCGTCTTCTAATACAATCCTCCTTGGTTAGCTGGGCGCTTGCGGTTGTTCAAGACGAGGAGATTGTAAGTGCTCATCGTGACCATGGGGATAGGCGTGGAAGAAGTGAAGAGAGGATCTGTTTCGCTGTAACAGAGTTTGTGAAGTCTCCACATAATTGTGCAACAATGCAGCAGTTATATTTGTACATCATGATATGTACCTCACTAAGAGAACATACCTCACCGTCAGGTCAATTTCATTGTTACCCAACTTGTCACGCTATTTTGAATCATCATCACAGCCGAACTGTACTTCATTGTCCTTCAACATCCATATGAACGCTGCATGTGTGTTATTTGCGTTCGTTAGCTACATTTGTATGAGATTTTGCCTCGCACGCTTGAATTTGAGTTGAAGAGGTGAATTATATAAACTGTATGTCCTTTGTTTCTGTTATGTCTAGCTTAGTTAAGCCTTCAATTTGCTTATCCTTCCTCGCGATGGCTCCCATCTGAAAGTTTTGGTGCTTCAGTGATAAAAGATCTTCAATTTCTATGTATGCTGCAGACATGGATTCCAGTTTTAAGTATGCTGGTTACAGTGATACCGGTTTTCTGGTCTTTACCCATTGTTGATTTCAGTTGAGTTTCTTTCTTCTTTCAATCTTTTCTTAGGTCAATGGCATCCAGTTTTTCCTGCTTGCTCTTCTAGTCTCAGGCAGTAATTGACACAAGTCTGGGCAACAACCATCGTTTTCACTTTGGCTTGTTGGGCTTTTTGGAGTTCTCTTCAGCCCTTGCGCAGACCATTGCAAAAACCTATGCACCTCGCATTCACTGATGATGAGTGACGGTACGGGAATTTGACGCTTCTCGTTCAATCATCTTTGATGGTCACTGGAGGACTTTTCTTCCTTCCAATGGGATCCTCTATGGTGCACAATGAGTTCCCACCGCTGTCAATTTGACAACCGGTCTCCTCCTTGTATTCCACCATTTTGATGCGTCTAGTATCTTCGGACTGGCCTCCACTGTCTCACAGCTTCAGTTTATGCATTACATTCCCAACTTTTACCCATCATTGTCTTCTTGTCACTTCACTTCTAGTGATTTTCGTCGTCCCAAAGGTGACGTAAGAACAAGATTTGCGTTGATTTGGTCTCATACGTGTTTATCCCTTGCGGCAAATCATGTACTGTCTTATCCGTAATGTATGCATGAAGAGGACCTTATCTATCCATCAGATCTCAGTACTACGGTATTACTCCCAACTGTATGCATCTGTCATGCAGTTTGACGATGATATACACCAACGGGCATCTATCATCCACGTTGCGAACAATCCGGTTGATATCTCTTTTGCAATTTTGGTCTTTCAGGTGATGGAGATATTTATCTAAGCTGTGTGGACACTGTTCTCATATCTACCCCGTGGGAGAGTATATTGAAGCAAGCCGTAGGTCTGGCGGGTTGGAAGTGTGGTGTATCCAGTGGACAGTGAACACGCTATATTGGATCGACGAAATCTGTTCCTCGTCCGGGACTTTCTTTGTTATTAGCGATTCTTGCCAAATTATTACAGTATTCATCCATATCCATCAAGTTTACCTTGTGTAAGTATGATTCGCAGTGCTATACATGATACATTTCTCAATGACAAGATTAATGAAGCACTTGTAATAGAACCCGGGCCTCAATTTACACACGAACACGGAAGTAGGGAAGCGTCGAACGAAACATCTATGTACATTATCAGTTGTATAAAAAATACAAACCGTCGACTGGGTCAATGTTATTACCTCCTGTGAATGAAGTAATAGCATATGCACTACACGGAGCTTGTATATGTGCATGTGAATATTCAAGACAACTGTGAATTTGTTTGAACTTTTGCAATCTTAAACTCTTACATTCAATATTGAAATTTTTGTGGGACCAATATAGTGATTATGAAACAGGAAAATTACTTCTGTTGCATTATTAAATATATATAATTATACAGCATATTATAAATTACATCACATTCAATAAAATCTTGACTACTAAATTTCGCGATGTCTTAGCCGTCAATCAGATAGGTGTAATATGTAGCTTAACGTATTTCATGGAATGACAAAATCGTGAAGAGTCTCATCGTTAATTATATGCGCATGATTAACTTATTTCTTTCGAAACAGTATAGACTTGCATGTTCCGATTTAATTGCACAGAGTAGAAGATAATCTGTTTGTACATCTGTCCATTTAACTTCAATTCAAAACGTATACTTATATCTGTCATAGTGATTTGACATATGTGTGATCATGCACATGAAATTACGAATACCAAAAGAATTATCCTGCATATAATTGCACATGCCTCATATATTATACACCTTATAGAGATCATCTACATTTGTAAAATTTATAGTGCATCTTCAATAACACAAGCGTTTTAAAACCGAAATTGTTTTGAAAGAGACGGTACTGTAGACTTTATCTTAATCAATTGTGTCATCACTTTCATCTTTTTAAGCCTCAAATACATACTTCCTTATTTCACATTTCGGAAACCAATCACAACTTAGAGCAGATTGCTACATACATATTTTTTAAATGCATGCAACTGATTCAGAAAATGGAATCTTTATTTCATACACACTTTGTTAATACACTTGTTTTTTAAGAAAAAGAAAATTTATTTTCATGCAGTTGCATTGTAAGTAGAAGCAGTATATACCATTCTATTTATGATTTTAATTATAATTATTTTCATGAGAATATTTCTCCATAGGAAAACTAAGACTCAAACTCGGCTCACACTCTCGAGAAAGAGTTCTATAGATGGATACAACTAAAATAGGAAACTACTACCTAAGGGTTAAAGTTTGGAAGACCTCCTAGGAGGCTCAGTTTTCTAGTTAGAGTAGAACATTTGAGAACGCAAAAAGATAAATTCATTAAAAACTCAACCGATTTGTATGGTTCAACTATCTTATCTTATACTAAAAAATATATATGCAAATTCTTTTGAAAAATCTCAATTGTTAGTATATTAGATGTATTTTTTATTTAAGTAATGCATATGTAGAGATTTATGAAAAGCATCAATTTTGAAGAATTTCTGAGAGATTAAGTTTGCAGATTATTAGGTGGAAGTGTAATAATTTATTTCCTTTTTCAAAAATTTACATTGGATACTCTTCTGAATGAACAAAATCTATTGAATGACTTTTCTGAGAGCAATTTAAAAAAATGACAAAATAGTTCTTTTATGACTTGAACCACCAGTATAACTATTGAAACTCATGATTGTGGAAGCAATAATGTTAATCAATTAATCCACAACCATTTACAAATATTGATCTTGTATTGAACATTACAAAATCATCGTCATGTTAGCAAGGCTACATTTAACAATTGCAATACTTACACAACAGTGGATGACGCAGGACGAACGCTCTCACCGGGAGATGAACACGTCGGCCACAAACGTCCCGGGAACTGTACATACATTCCTCGGCACTCGGAAACAACTCGGCGATACAATCGGCGGCGAAATATGTGAAAATCGGGACAAAAGAGAAATTCGCGGCAAGAGAATTGAGTGGTTCCCACCAGCCAGGGAATGAACCGGTGACCGGGGGATTTAAATGGCACGCATAATTTAGGGTTCAGAATAGCGCTGGATATTACTTGCGCATGCACGTTGGACGGGCTGGCAGCCAAGTCGGAACGGAACAGCATCGCGGAATGTTGTCGGGGCCACTTTCCGCTTACGGGCTGAACACGATCGTTTGTGCGATGCCATTGGACCACAAATTCATGAAAGCGTAAATTCAACTCTTGCGCCTGGACCAGGTGCGCTTTCTGCTGCCTGCCTGTGCCTCCGCTGGCGCTCTCGAGGAGTTCCGATTTGCGGGACGACTCGGGCGAAGACTTTCTTTCGCGCTTGGTGGCCTGGAGCTGTGTCACAATCCAGAAATCGAGAAACGGGCGAGGTCCGAAGGTTGGGGTCCGAGGATTTCATAATTGCGATGCGTTCGTGCGGGACTGAGTCGTTTCGAAATGCGGGCAGACGAAACGAGCAGGTTTTCCATCTCGTCTTTGTTTTGTTGACCGTGCGGTAGTGGCTCTCGGTGCTTGGCCTGCGTTGCGTTGCTTTCAAGGTTACGAGCTCGACGAGGGATCAGGGCTTGATATCGGCCGGAGAATCGCTGCCCCTGCGCTCTTTGGAATTACAGTCGTATGCGGTTTGGAGATGGAGAATCACTTTCTTTTGCTGGAGAGGTCGCTGGAAGGTGGTGTGGACATTTTATGAATGCGCGAGCGGACGAGCGCGGCCAGGTTTTCGGGGACGCAAGCGTGCTTGAGAAATGTAGCACGAAGCTCTGAACCTCGTGGACGAACTATTTTGTTAAAGAGGACCAAAAGTCACACAGGGCAAAGGTTTAGAATTCTGATCGAAGGGAAGCGAAGTGATGCAAAATTCTTCTGAGTTTTGCATCATCTTCATCCAGGGATACTAACATAGAGCTAGAAGATATCAGAGAACTGTAGTGGGAGTTCGCAGTACAGTTGAGTTCTGTATTGAAGGTGTGAAGGCTGAGCGAATGAATATGTTGGGGGAAAGTGACGAAGCTAGGAACATGGATGGGCTCGACGAGGAAGAGGAGGATGAAGACCGAAGTGTCGTAGCAATTATTAATCTCCACTCGGCTCCCTATCCTTTCCAACAGAAGATGAACTTATCGGATTTGTGTAGATTTTCCAGGTCAGGGTTCATGCCGCTGGGTTTACATAAATCTGATAGTGATGCGATGCTCTTCATGATTTCTCGCTTTTACTCAGTGTTTGTGTTTACTTCTGTGCGTCTTACGTGAAATTTGTTAACACTTCAAGTACAAGTGAATTGCAGTGCAATTGCTTGGTGCCCAAGGACGAACATCGTAGCCTGCGCAACGGAGACCTGCGCCAGAGATCCAGGGTCAGTGCCTGCTTCAGTTTTAAAAATATCAGTACATCTTCCGCCTCTGTTCGATTCAATTTTCATATTTTGAAGTCATTTTTGCGGTACAATGACCTTGTTTCTTGTGTATATACTCGAAACGTCGGGCCTGAGTGGTAGTGCACTAAACCGATCTTTTTCAGATTTATGTATAAAAAGACATTGTTAGCGGAGCTATGTTTGTCAGTGATTATCAGAGAAGTAGGTGTCGAAGTGCACAAGAATTCTGCCTTAGTATTTTTGCAAGCATGTTATAATAGTCAGCTCAATTTGCAGACTTACACATCAGCCGGCTTTTTGGATTCCAATCCATGTGGTGGATCCCGAACGCCCGTCTGAGCATGCAATTTTCAACGTGATAGCCGGTATGTGTTTTTCGAGAGTGCTTTGTTCGTAAACTTTTGTTTTCATTTTATCCATTCAAAATATCGAAATGTGTCGATCATAGTTAGATCATACGGCTTTACAGTCAAGTGAAGTTTTTTGTGAAAACCTGTCAATAATTCAGGTCGTTCATACATTTTTAGCTGACTCTTCTCAAAACAGAGCCGAGAGCGGACACGTGCTTGTTTCAAGCAGTATGTTGTGAAAGTCGAAACTGAACTTTTCGGGTTAAGGAACTAACTCAGGATTCCCTGAATCTTTAACTGGTCCCAGAGTCACCGGGAGATGCTGTACAGACCATGGAATGGTCCCCTTTATCTTGTCCCCAGGCACTTCTAATTTGCAATACCAGCGGAAGGGTGACGATCTGGTCTCAGCCTACACAAGTAAGCGATTATGTTTAAAACCATGCCATGGGTATTCTCCCTTCTTTTTATCTTGTTCTATTTGCAGTCCGCTAAATTTATGCTGGTTATTTAGTTGTTTTGTTTGCACTTTTTCAGGGCCCTCCGAATGTAGCATGCACTATCAATTGCTGGAGCTGCGAGTATGAATGGCAACAAGAACATGCAGTGGCCATGAAGTGGCTTGCCGGACCTTCTCCCGTATGTTCATCTGGCCCAAATAAGAATAATTGCAGACATAGATAGCTCTCGTATGCTTAATCTAGTTTAAAACGCTTTGCTGTTAAGTTTCCACTTCATTTTCGACGGACGACTAGGGTTTTCAGAACGGTTGTCTTGGGAGCATTACACATCACTGGATGAGGATGATTAAGCTTAGATGAAGGCTAAGAGAGTCCGCCACTGGAGTGTAAGTAATCATAAGGAGTAGGCTTCTGGAGTTAAAAGCTGCGTATCGCTTCGAATTATTTGCTTGTGAGTAAACTCATGGACTTTTGCCCTTTTGCTTGACTCATTATGATACAGTATCGGTGGTCCCCCACGGTATCGACTGGAGTCACAAATTCCAAGTCGTACGAAGAGAGGTTTCTAGCCCATGGACCTCGTCCTTCAGGTAGAATGGTGATGCATATTTTCATCTGAATTCGTTGTTAGACATTGTAGAGACATTCTTTTATCTTCTTGAAGTTTTTATCAGTACAATAGAAGAAAAAGGTACTCAAAGATATCTTTTGTCCATGATCGTTCGGTCGTACAACACCTAAAAATTTGTTTTGTGAATGTCGGCAGCTCGTTGGCCCGACATCTTGTGTACTTGCGCCGTATTCTTCTCTGGGTCTGTCCAGCTACGCTGGCGTCAGTGGCCCCCAAAAAATTATGGCCCTGTGAAGTGGCACGCTACTAATAAGGCCGTGCTAGGTGCTGGACCTAGTGGTGTATTTTGTGCGGACGCAATAATTACAGATTCTGGAAGCTTGCATGTTGCCGGTGCTCCTGTCGGGCACCCATCAACTCTAGTCGTCTGGGAGGTTAGCCCATGGGTCGTCAATCCTGGTGGTGCTAATCAGCAAGCTGCGAAGTATAGCATGGGTGTACAGTCACCCCTGGGATTTGGTCCCCCTTCATGGCCCGGCGTTGCTCCGTTAGCTGCGTATCTTTTGAGTTGGCAGGAGCAGGCAGGCAACGATGTCAAAGTTTCTCAAGCTCAAGCTCAGTTGGAGAATGACGAAAAAGCAGCTCCTCTTCTTCACTGCTCCCCAGTGTCGAACTTGTCTGGTTACGTTACTCCCGACGCCTCAACATTGTCAACTTGGGGATCGGGTATCGCTGCTATAGCTTTCGATCCCTCACGTGGTGGCAACGCATTGGTGACAGTAATCTGTGAAGGTATACCAATGGATTTGACGATGTAAATGTCAGGAAATTCTCTTTTCTCTGTGTTGTCTAGGTGTGCTTTGACGTTTGAAGGTTTGTAATATAGTCTGGAGTCATGTCGCCCCTTCGATGAAGTCCTTAGGTGAGGACGAGTTTCATTTGTGTCGAATCTTCATGTTCAGGAAGTAAAGTTTCATGATGCTCGTGTCTCCTCCATGTTCCTAACGCGAAAATGATATACTATGGGCCTATCTGTCGACTTTCCCCAGTAAAAACAAGCATTGCTACTTGTTGCAACTAACTTGTACTTTGTGGAACACCTTTCTGTAGTGGTGAAAACATCTTATTGATTCACGTGCAGCGTGTGCATTGAATGTCACTCAGAATGTAGTAAGCTTGTGCACTAAGCTGAGCTTATCATATTAATTCCCTGTTCTTCATTTCCAGGTTATTTTATTACTCCAGAGTCCCCAGATGATGGACCTTCCATGACTGGATGGAGGTTTCAACGATGGGAATCGACCAGACAGCAAGTTGCCATTCACCCTCTGTTTGAGAGTCAGTCTGCGAGCTACCCTCCTCCTACTTCTCATCCAATGATAACGTCTTGGACTGCCGTTTCAAACAAAAGCATGACACCGAGGGGAAACAATTACAACCCGACTTTGGGATCCGTCTTGTTGTGTGATCCGTCGAAACGTAGGACAGAGATCCTAGTGAGTCGAGAGCGGCCGAAGAATCCGAGAACTATTGCCAGAATCACTTTTGCAAATCATGGTGGAGAGTGGGCTTTGTCTTTGACAACAGGTGAAGTCATGATCTACTCAGGGTCTTCTATTACGCCTCTTGAGACCTTCGTGGTTCGAGTTGGTATGCTACTTCCGCCGAGCGTAGCATTCTCGCCGACAAGTTGCTGTGTCGCATCTGTATGGCACGATAAGCAAGCAGACTGTAGTTTGTTGAAAATTTGGTGTTTGGACCCACCTACTCCAGCGTCCCTACAAGGAGGAAGTGCTGGTTCTTTGACTTGGGAACGCCATATAGCAGACAGGTATATATTTTGAGTGTTCCGTGTTGTGTTTCATTCAAAGAAGTTATTCTTAAGAACTGAAGAAAGGATATGGACTTATGTTTTGCCGTTTCTTATGCCACGTATCCTCTGTTACAGATTCTGGTGGAGTCTTGTTTGTGAAGTCGATTGGTGGGACATTGTTGCATGTACTCAGTATGTGACAGAATCCGGAACCGGTTAGTACGGCCTTTTATCTGCAATGCTCTTTTTACAACTCATTTTGTGTTGTACGTTCGTTGTGAAGATTCGGTAAATTTCTTCAGGTTGTGATAGACACAAACAAAGGATTACTTTCCACTTTGAGGATTCTCTAATTCATGTTCTTTTCAGTTTAGAGGTTCTCATTTAAGCTGAGCGGCGGCACGAAAATGTCCACACATCCTAGAGATTATATAGTACTTTATAAAAAAAATATCATAGACACGGCCCATTATTTTGTTGATGTAGTAAAATATGCAAATCACTATACTAATATATACGCACACTCACATTTATTTGCGTGGTCTTGTGCACAGTCACAGTTGCCCGGGTGGCAGCAGTTCTGGATGCAGATTTTCACGCCCTTCCGAATGTTCTACATCGTCAGCATTATGGCGTGGTAAGGGACCACTTTAATATATGCCTCCTGAGAAGTACTTTCTTGCAGGTTTGGATTTAGGATATAGCTCGTTTTCTGAAAGGAATGTAGAGCGCTAAGGTTGAATGTTTTTCCTCTCTTGTCTGCTTAGAGGACTTTACCGTTTCCATTGAATGATAATCAGTTTAGATGCTAAGTTTGTGGAAGGAGGAATATGAAGAAGCTTACAGTGCTATCCACTAGTCTGCCCTGAGTTGGCACTTAAAGGTTCTGAGCAATACAGGAATTTGTAACTAGGTGTCTTGGGTCTTGTCCTTCTAGTCCCAAACCTTCATGGCACTCAAATATATATCACTGTCAATTTAAGTACATGCACGGAGTGTGATCTTAATTGCAAGCTCGGTTTGGTTTTTTAAGATCGTCCCATTTTAACTTCGAGGTAGTAAGCGATATGTACTTATTTTGGCGTCTCTTCTGTCCATTTGCAGGCACTGGATCAGATAAAGAGTCGGATGCTGGAGGGCTTTGATACTGCTGACAATAGGGCGCTAGTTCTCGATATGCAGGCAAGATTGAGTTTAGATGCGCTTGGAAAGGGCATAGAATCGGCCCTGGTAAGCCCTGCGACACTTGTTCCAGAACCTTGGCTGGCGTCGAGCGAAGTTTTATCAGGTCTTGGACCTGATGCAATGGCAGTTGATACTCACCTTGTTCCAAATGTACAGGTGAGCATAATTCCTGGCCCAGTGTTTCGAATCACTTTACAGGGATTTGGCCTTTTAGCGTTTCGAATTTATTTGACGCCCTTTTTCCGGAGATCAGTGTCCCGTTTTCTGTCCATCTTAACCTTGAATGGCTCTGCCCCAGTGGTTACTTACAAGCGGGCATATATAAGACGTTCATGTTCTTGAACCATGTAATTTTAGAATCCAGTTAGCCTGAATTGTATAGTTGTCAGTACCTCAATTTCTTCCATGGAAATGTTGATTCGGTTTTCTCCTCTTAGTAATCGTGAAAATCATCATGTCCTTGGCTGGTGCTTCCGACGTTGGGATTTCAAATTTGCTCATCTCGTCGAGATCGCCCTCATCATTGGAAACTATGCTCGCACTTTTACTCGAGTTCGTTTTTGAGCAACGCGTTGGAGCTCCGAACGCCCTTTTCTGCCCCAGCCGCCTTCTGTTTTATTCCCAACTCAGTAATCTATCTGGTTACCCAAACGTCCCGTATTGGAATTATATGGTTATTCGGTTATTAACTTTTTACTTCAAAATGGGGAAGGTGCTCACTCTTTTTCTTTTGCTTGTAGGCCTATGTTGACTCTATCCTAGACCTCGCATCGCATTTCTTGACTCGACTTCGACGTTATGCTACCTTTTGTCGTACTCTGGCTACTCATGGAGGTGCAAATCTCAATGCGAATGCTGCTAATCGAGCGGGTGTGAATTCAAGCAATGGTGGACCGTTGTCAGCACAAACTGGACAAGGTGAGTTGAACGAAGATACACCCAATCAGACTAAAGTTTTATGTCTTTCGATGCTCCTTACCTTCATCTTTTGGCAGACAGCACATGCCTTACAGTATGCTGTTTCTGTGGAAAGAAATCTCTGTACTGTACATCATGAGTATTGTGGAGTGACCGTCACGAACCCGGACGTTATGACTGCTTGCCGACAGGTCCAGGTGGTCAAGCCGGTGCAGGCAGTAATGGGACAGCATCCACTGTGCAATGGTTGCAAGGTGCAATGGTTGCCAAAATGAACAACACTGGAGATAGCACAACTGGCAATCCATCTAGCACTGGGTTAAGTCAAGCCCACGCTATGGGCGTAGGAAGTGTAACATTCCCTGGAATTCCTGCTGTACGACTTATTGGAGATTGTCAGTTTCTTCACAGGCTCTGCCAGCTACTATTTTTTTGTCTTATTTTTCGGAAAAGGCAATCTCCACGCCATGTAACAGCAACATCCAGAATGTCAGGAGATGTCGGAGGTGCTGGAGTTAAAAATGTCAATGGTATTGTGACCAAGGCGGAAGACAGTATGACTTCAGGAAGTACAGTAACGAGGTCAGGTGCTGTTGCTCCTTTTGTGAAATCGGAAGATGGTTCTGCAAGACCTCCTGTTGTCAGCAAAGCTGAAGAGGCTGCAAACGCTCGGTCCGCCCGTTCCGGAACTGGAAACGCTGGTCAAGGCTACACAGCAGAAGAAGTGAGGATCAGTCTCTTCCCGATTGAATGCGAACAAGGGATCTGATTGGTAGTTTTGCGTCTGTGATAATCAGGAAGATTTTTTGCTCCCAATATACGGATGTCGTATTGATGATTGATATGTATAAGCGTTTCTGATTTCGCAGGTAAAGTTTCTCTTCTTGGTGCTTGTCGATCTGTGTAAAAGAACGAGTTCACACGCACATCCAATGCCAAAGTCACAGGTCGGAGCCAGTAATCCTGTGATCAGGCTGCACTATGTTGATGGACAATATGCGGTGCCCCCTGAAGTCGTCGAGGCATCGCTCGGACCACACATGCAGGTAATGCGTGAGGTCGCAAACTTGGGCATCATTCCAGTTACTAGGTTTTCAAACAGTTTGAGTAGTCTGTTAGCACTGCCGCACTATTCACTAGAGAATGAAAGATTCAGACAATGATGGACCTGATTACTGAAAAGGTACTATCGTTTTTTTAAGCAGCAATTACCACGCCCGCGAGGAGCTGATGCGGCTGGATTGCTCATGAAGGAGCTCGAGCTTCATGCACCCGCCGAAGAATGGAACCGGAGGAGTATGGTATTTGGTTCTTACAACAATGCCTATCAGGCTGAAATGATGGAGATGCTTGATGAAGATCAACATCCAGTTGACTTTTGGCCTAGAAAACGCAGATTTGCGGAAAGAGACGCTGCTTTTGGTTTCAATACAGCAATTGGCCTCGGTAGCTTTGCAGGATTTATGGGGTCACGTCGGGATGTGATTACTGGTGTATGGAAGACCGCACAGTATGGACATTGGCACAAGGTATGAATAATGAATTTCACCCCTGCAACTAATTGCTGAAACCTTTTTCCTTTTTCCCCTCCACTCTCGCCACAGGAGCAGAGAATACAAAGAAATAGTACACGTTTGGGAAGAGGTTAAGACACCATCTTGGTCAGATTTGACTGGAACGAAGAAGACTGAACAACGTTTTGTACCATAGAAGTTTTTATGGGCTTTATTTTCAATAAGCATCGAGACAAAACTTTAACTCTTAAATCTCGTGTATTTTGTTTTCGTAGTGCATGCGCTGTGGGAGGAAGACGGCTTCGCTAACGCCTCCAGATTTGACACTTACACCCTCCGAAACCATTCCTACGACGAGAGAAGCATGGTGGACGGGAAGGTGGAGATTTAAATGCCCAATGTGTGGAGGACGATGGGCAAGGATGTTGTAGATTCGATTGTAGCTAGGCAGGTGTGGGGAAATGGCCAGCATTGTACATATGTCCAAGCTGTCAAGCATCTTGTCTTGCATGACGAATCCTGAGCAATATAGCAAACAAAGCAAACCCCTTACTCTGTAGGTTGAAGTAGTGTTGTACAGTAACCCCATGGCTGAAAACGGAGGGGAGCACAGGGAGGACGAAGATGTGAGAGTTAAAAGGTAGAGTAAAATGAAAAACTGGTTGTTTGGTTGTCAGTTCATGAAAAACTTTGTTGAGCATTGACCCAGGCAGAATTGGTCAATGAAAAATGGGATCATATTCTCGTCATGCACTGGCGATGTAATCATTTATCTGTAAAGTATGACAACTGTATTTCATCACAGAAGTGTGTTTGGATGTCCAACAGGATGTATGTCTGCAGAGAGTGTGAAGTGTATGTAACACAATGTGTTGGAAGACCGGTCACTTACTCATGTTCACAATGCGATCTGTGCGAGTATCAAGATTCGCGAGTGCGGGTAAATTTCTAAATTTTACCTGTTTCTGAAACCACGAATAGAGTTTGATTAACCTAGCAAATCTAGGTTTGTTTGACTTTAGTGGTTAGGTAGATCAGCGTAGTTAAAGATTACCTTACGCAAGTATGCAAGGCAATCACTGAGGAGATATACATGAAGACGAGAAGAGACGGGAATTTTGTTATTTGGTTATGACTTGAGAGGGACCTGGAAGTTCATTTGAGTTGAAATGGAAAGCTTTGAGAAGGAAGTTGAAACTCAGTAGATTGTATTTTATGATAGATATTGACAGATAGCATCAAAATTATTCTTGGTGTTCTTGTGAAAGTAATTTGATCATATCAGTTATTTATGTGAATAATCTCAACCATATTTGCACAAGGAGTGCCATTGTGTTAAAGTATCATTAACTGAAGTTAATTTTGAGACCAAGAACCTTGATGTTACCTCATATCACTTCGGGTTTAATTTAGGGTTGCAGATTGAACATTTGGCAGAAAGAGTATTTCCTTATTTTCCTCTGGGCATTGCCCATCCTTCCGTTCCTCAATGCGAATTCATGGTTTAGATATGCACAAAGGTTATTATATGTATCAAGTATGTGAGGGGAGGAACGTGTAGGTATTCACATGGCATCTCTCGCAGAAGTTTCAGTAATTATTTTCCTTGCAAAATACACCGAAACTAACATATCTTCGTGTACATTTGCCTTTACGGGGCCTCTCCCTATAGTCGAGTGCTACGCATCTCTCCCCTCACCCTATGGCCCTTTTTTTCGTAGAGGCAAAGAAGTTTGCGGAAATGGCTTCGTGCCGTGGGTAGCCTCGGCTTACACAACATTGGGGCTTGGAGTGGTTTATGTTGTTCCCAAAGTCTCGAATTTCGTAGGAATTATAAGTCCTAACTTGTCGGGAAACGCCATTAAGGTAACCGCCCGCAGGGGGACCGCGACTGGATTGACTCCTCTTTTGAAGTTTCAAAGATCTAAAGCACCTGAAAACTGCGCGAAGATGCCCAAAAGCATCCAATTTCGAGGATTCAGTGGAACCATTTGGACGTTTGGATTTCCGAATGGGGCAGAGGGCCTTTACCTATGAAAGGCTGTTATTTTGTATTTTTATAAATAAGGACTTCCCTGACTTAAAAGCAATTTGACTAGGGTTTGCAAACTTTATCCAAACGGGTTTGATGCTAAACTGTTTTAGCTTTTTGGAAAGTATTGATATAACGAATATACTGTGAAGTGAAATGGTATCGATCAAAGTGGATGGTCCAGATCCAAGATTGATATAAAATTATCAATCTCCATTCACGTTAATAATTCTATCAAGGATAGACATGGCTATAATGGTAAACCTAGCAAATATAAGAAATCTATAAATATCCCACTTCGCCGGAGAGATTCATGTTGACACCACACGAAATACATGTTGACAAAACATACATATTTTGCTTTAGAATATCCTAAGTTTGTATCATTGGTAAGGTTTATGCATAATGATTAAATAACTAGTTAATTTGATTTATACTAAGTTGAACAAACATGTTTAAGATAAACATGATTGTTTTCTAGTAATCTTGACAAGACATACATATTTTGCTTTAGTGTGGTAGTGCAATTTTTTCATTTTTTTCAAAAATATTGTAGTTAGGTAAGGAAATCCACGTAAATTTTAATTTTTGGAGCAATAGTATTCAGAAGAGAGTAGAATAAGTAATTTTAGTATAGATGTTGAGTAGTAGTAGGAAATACGAAGGATCGTAATAGACAAAGCTTGTTCTCCTGGTTCCGATGAGATCTAGAGTCGAAGGGATGGACAAGTGGAGTCCGAATTACGAAGGGAAGGAGCAAAGATCCAGATTCTCCGAAGACCTAGTCCAGCCTTCGGTAGAGGATATTCAGCTTTCGGTGTTGATGACTTCGGAGTTTTCTACAAAGTACTTCTAGCGACTGATCCCCAGTGGAGTAAAAGATGACGCCGCACGGCAAAGAAATTTGAATGGCGTCACTTCAATTCGCACGAGTTGATTCTACCGTTGCGAGGGCGAACACACCTGCGAGGGCGCGAGTTCAACCCCCACATTTCACGATCACACTATTGCAAATTGTAGAGAGATTGAGGTGTGGAAGCTTGAACTGACGGAAGCAACTATGGGACGATCTGGAGCAATTCGATTTGACTACACTTAGAGTTCCTACAGATGGATTGCGAGCCTATCGTAGTGAATTGATTCTCGGAGAGCTCAATTTTTGCTCTGGGATGAAATTGGGTCTGTGCAGCAATGGTACAGGATTGGAACGACGATGACACTCCGAAACTTGAGGGCCATCGAGGAAATCTTGAGACTTGGCAAATTTGCAATTGGGCAAAAAACTTGGATTATCGCGCAGGTGAAGACGACGAACTTACCTTTAATTGTGAGAGTGTCAAGATAACGAGAGCCGAAGAGAAGTCGTACGCGGCTTTATTCAAGAAACCGCGCACTGGCAAGAACGGATATCGAACCATAGGGTATCGGGATCGCTTAAAACGAAGTGTAGCAATGGCGTTGATGCAGATACTTCGACCTTCTCGGACAACGTACATGATGACTTGACAGGTTGGGTTCGTGGAACAAGCGCTGCGAGGTGAACGAATTCACTAGGCGCGAATATTGTGGACTATCATCCCGCAACACATTGGCCAATTACGGGAGGATTGGCCAATTACCTGTACCCGTCTGATTAATTTCTATATGGGGATGGAGTTGTTAACTGAGGCAGCTGAGTACTCATGCGTATGATGGAGACGAAATTCTGAGTGCCAACGAGGTCGACACCGACCAAGAAGACCAGCAGATTAATTCGCATCCGGGAAAAACCGATGGACTTAGGGATAGAAGGGAAGAGCGGCCGCAGAAGAGAATGAGACTTAAGGAGGTCGTAGTTTTCGAAGTGCGTGATCGCCGAACAGTCCATACCAAGCTCAAAACGCCTAATGCACTGACCAAAACGCAAGTGAAAGCTCGACGATTGATATTGGAGGATGGTAGCAGCACGAAGAGCAGTGTTGTTGCGTCGCAAGGCCGTCTAACTTCGGCAAAGTGGGCGAAGTTGGAAGCAAAGACAACTGTGAGAGAGAAGGATGGATCTTCGGACTCTAAGATGAGACTTTTGACAGTGGTGGAGCGCCGGGCAACGAGGAAGGAGAAAGGAAAGGCCATAATGACAGAGGAAGGAATCCCGGAGCGGAATCCAATTCCTTCGGCTGAAGCCAGAGTAAATGTTCCTTCTGAGAAACCCTTGGAAGTGCTTACAGTGTCATCGGACATTAAGGAGTATTCGGTTGCACTATAGAATATAGCATAGAGAGTAATGGAAGGCGTACTAGGAGAGGCTACTGCGCAGCAGCTAGTGGCGTCACCTTTGATGTTCACGGCAACGGTTATATTGGAGTCGGGAGAAGATCCTTCGGCAAAAGTGATCTAGTCGGAAGGGGTCAACGTTGCGGACATGTTGTGTGTACAAGTGATACCTCTACTTCGGGACCTCAACAGCAAGCTAGGGAAGTATGCTGGGCCAACCAATGTCGGATCTTACGTGGAGTTAGTGCGTAATAGTACGCGTGTGAAGGTGACAACAGCTCATGCAGTTGTAGAGAAGGAGAACCAGCTCTGGGAGATAGAGACGAAGTACGAGGTACTTTGGAAAAGGTTGGCCGAAAAAGTAGAACTGCGGAAGTCTTCCGAGAAGGCCTGTGAGAGTTTTTGGATCGACATCGAGGTCACCAGATGTGCAACATTGGATCTTCGGGATAGACAGGATGCGTCTCGGTAGCTTTCAACGAGGAGTCGCGCAGAGTGGATGAGCTAATTGTGGATCTGGAGAAGAAGGATCAGACGCATGCAGCAGAGGTGGCAACGAAGGTGAAGGCTTTGGCGGAGTGTGAGGCTGGGAGGACCCCGGACCTGGAGCTGATAGAGAGGTTGGAGTCCAAGTGCAATGAGATGAGATCTCAAGGATCGTTGGCCGAGTAGCAGTTAAGTGAGATGAAGGTGAGAGTGTCAAAGGCGGAGAAGAAGACTCGACAGTTGGCGGAGCATACAAACTACGCCTTGACAGAGAAGGTGAATCGGTGCATGTGCACATTCGTGTTATGACAGGTCGATACGCAAAAGTGATTGCAGTTGAAGGATTTGGAGCGTCGCGCGACCACAATGATAGCGTGTAGTTTTAGTGGGCAGTGTCAGTTAGCTAGAAAGTGAGGTGCGTTTCTTACCAGTTCATGTGAAACAATGGCGAATTTGGAATTGGAACTTACACTTGTTTTGCGTAGGTTAGGATTAGATCGAAAGTTAGATAGCGCGACAATTGCCGACTCTGCAAGCGGTGTGACTGGTCGTAGCTTGCATCAGAGCTAGTGACATCTTTGTGTTAGTTAGGAATAAAGAAGCCCAATGCTTAGGCCTGAGGGGAATTTTCAATACTTAGTTTTCTCAATTTTGAGCCTGCATTCTCCGCGCATCTGTGTATTGAGAGTTTTTGTCACCGCAAGAGAGTTACTTCGGTTTGTCGAAGATACCCCATCTGAAGTAGTAGTCCAATTCGGGTGTTTTGAGTAGCAATTGGCTAGATAAGGATTTAAGCAAATTCGTAATGGGAAGCTCCGTGTAGTTAACTGAGTGTATACTTCGGAAATTTTCCCCCCTGAATACTAAGATAGAATCACAATCGACCTCTGTGATGCTTGATTGGAGAAGTTTCATGATTAATGTGTGACTTACGCTGCAATGTGTCTCTTTTGTATTTTGCACCTGCAGTATTACTAGGAGTGATAACCGCCTGAGAATTCAAACTCTTCAATAGATTGTTAATACGTGACACTTGTTGCTCTTGGTCTTGTTTCTGTCCTCGTGGAATTGGATCTTTACCACTATGCTACATTTTGGTATTTATCTATCATTACATTTAGAATATCCTAAGTTTAAATCATTGGTACATGTTTTAGCATAATGATTAAATAACTAGTTAAATTGATTTATACTAAATTGAATAAAGATAAACATGTTTATTTTCTAGTAATCTTTCCCCTTGATTGATATCTATCTTAAACTCTATTAAATTACCTTAAACTCTATTAACTTGTATAATTATTTTTAGAATATTTTAGAATTAAACAGAATCTTATGTAGACTAGAGTTAATTAGAACTAACTATAAAATAAAGTATGCATAGAGATTG